CCGCTTCCAATGTTGCTTATTAAATCGGCCAGGATGACTCAGAGGAGGGAGACGACCTCTTTTCCAAGTGGACCCTGGCACAGTGCCTGCAAGCCCTTGCGGAGCTTGTGAAGTGCTGCTGGACAGAGCTGCCGGACGAGGTGGGGCGAAAAGTCTGGGTCCGGATGTTTCGAGCTTTGCATTGCCAATACGCCAGTCATGTGGTGCATGCGAAGAACTTCGGGGTAGCCCTCTCAACACCACTTCCCGTCGCAGCCACTACGGTTGTGGACCACTTGCGCTTGTGCGCGATGAATGATGTAGTTGCACCGTGGTGTTGTGATGGTCAGGTGTACTGTATGCGGACGTGGGATGTGCGAGTGTGTGTGTGTGTGTGTGGAATCGCAAACTATGCCTGAATATGCTTTTCATGTGCAGGAGACAGAGAGAGTCAACAAAAACCTGGAGCAGAAATCACTCTTCCTCTTCGACCTAGAAGAGGAGCCGGGTTTGGGGTGATAAATGGAGATCGTGAAGAAAAAGTGGTTCCAGACAGGGAACATGCGCTGACATCTGAAGGCGCGTCCCCGCAGGCATGCTACCCATCAGAAGGCTTTTTTGCGGCATCTGAAAGTTAACTGATTTGTTGTGTGACAAGGTGAGAGAAACGCTGCTGCTCGGCCTGTATCACGGGGCTTGGGTGGAACCTTAACTCGCAACGCACAGTGACCCTGACACAGGTACAAATCAGGGCGGGAAAAGCTTGTTGCAGGCGTTCGTGCTTCAGGCTTCCAAATTTGAATGTGTGAACCGGGCAAGAGCTTGATCATGACCAGCCTGGTCCAAAAGTCCAAAACCTCAACATTTGCCTGGGCTGCAATGTCAGGCTCGGGACAAGGCCATTGAGCAGGTCATACTGTGGGCAACGGTGCCGGCAATTGGCCCGGCCCCCTGCAGAAAGTCGACAGGTACATTTTTTTGGCCACATTTTTGCTGTGCTTTCTGGTTGATCGTTTTTTCTGGCCAAACCGAGGGCCAAGACAGGACAAGGCATAAGAGTCAGGGTCAGCAAGCCTTTGTTTTGGGAAGCCCGAAAGATCTTCTAAATGCCATTAGCAGTTCATCAAACGAAACTGGGTGTTGTTTTGTGTTGCCTTGAAGCTTGCAAGAAGAAGGGACCCCCAACATGGCCGGAGCTGGGGTTGGTGACAATGGCTAGTTTAGTGTTGGCAGTTTTGGAAACATGTTTTATGGATTATTTGACATTTATTCTTAGGGAGCAGGGATTTTGGTTCTTTTTCGGTCCGGCTGCCATATTGACAGTGCTGTTTAGCGTTGCTTAGTACTTCATGCCATTTTGAATTGCTATTGGTGTAGTACGGGGTTTACTATTGGCAGGCTAAGTCTTCCTTAGTATTGGTTTAGCATTGCTCAGTATTGGTTGGGGGCGGAACTTGTTAGGATTGGAATAGTGTTGCTTGAGGGTCGCCAGGGCTGAGGTTTCACATGATTTTGTATTCCTACCCTCACTTTCACACCAATGGATGTTCCACTGACAAAATACACATGTTTGTAGCTGTTCCCTTTCTCTTTTTCAAGTCGGTGCTTCTCAATTGTCATGGCTTAACGACTACCCAACATCTTTAGTTTAGGGGCGAGGGGGTGCACAAATGCCTGAGAAAATACGTGCTCTTATTAACCAGGGCATTTGTTTGGGCCCTGGTTGACCCCTGGTCGTCGTGTCCCTGTTTCATCCTTATGATGGGCTCAAAATGTCAATTTCCGAGCAATGACGTTCAGACGGAGAAATCAATCATGTTGTGTTTGCAGTTTCGTGTAGGTCTAGCACTGGTTCGGCTATTGGCAACATGTTTGGTTTAGTTAGTTGTCGCACTGGTTTAATTAGTGCTGGCTTCCTGAGTCAGTCCTGGTTCAGTAGAGCCCCTCGGACTGTTGGGCCTTGCCAGTGACTTGGGGGGAGTTCGACCATTTTTCGCTGGCGTTTTATGAAAATTGGACAAGGCAACACGCATAAGGCTGTCGAGCAAAGACGCATGTGGTGAGGGCATTGGCCAGGGCTTGTTATCCAAAGTCTCAATGCCGCCAGCAAACCCCAAGCCGTCACTTGTTAGGCTTTGTCATGCAAAACCGGCTCATCATGTTGCACAGGCGAATTATTCTTCAAGCAACTGCAACATAATGCAAATGGCATGTGACCAGGAAAGCAAGCTTCCAGCTGTTGTATGCGGGTGTGGTAGCTCGCGCAATGAAAGGCCGCAGCGCGCCCGGGGCAACCAGGCGAATGTGTTGCAGTCGCATTTGCGCGGATCAAAGCTCAGGAACGTTCGCACAACCTCCTGGAGCAGTTTGGCGATATTTCCACAATGCTGAGCCAGGAACACTTGAAGGATCTCAAACAGGTAGCAGCTTGGCTCATGGCGTTCGTCACTGCATCATAGTGATTACCTCTCATAGTCAGCCGGGATAAGGATGTACAATTGTACGCAGAATCTCCTAATTTGTCGAGCGGGCGGATTCAGAATGAATCCAGGCTTTCTTTGGATGTAACCCAGGACTTCTCCGGATCGCAGATCATACAAGCAGGTTCAATCGTGACGAGAACGTTCAGGCTCTTTGACGTAGCCTGCGCGTTCTCGTCACGTGGAGAATTGGTTGACACAGCGAAAGAAATCGCCATCATTTACCAAGCCGGGCTGTACTTCTTGGTTTTTTTTGTATGTATGGCTGTTGTCTATGGGTCCATACACCATACAGTGGGTGCACAAAATCCTGCACCGTTCTGAAAGCATGGCAAACCATTGTTGGTTAGCATCCATAGCGGATCATCATGCCAGGTTGCGTACATGCTGCAGGATTTCGTCCATCCACAGAATGTCAAGCACTTGAGTGGAGCAAAACTGTCCTTTAACTCGAGCCACTCGTCGTTTGCCATCTCATGGCAACATGAACCACGATGTGTGCCTTTGGCGGTCCTCGTAAATCCTTTGAGTTTGAGTCTAGCTTTCTGCAGGTGCAGATTGGCCCGGTGTTGAGCACCTCGGCAAGCACGCGCATGGGCCAAAAGGGCTTTCAGAGAAATTCAGTGTTAGGTTCTCACGTGTTTCGTTGCTTGCAAAGACTTGAGTTTGAAACCGACTGAGCACCACGCCATGCACTTTTGGCTGCTCGGAAACGTCCTGTTTCTTGCGTGGCAGATGCTGATTAGTGCTCACTTGAGCCTATCATCGCGGACTTAGTCCAGATTAATTACCATTAAAGTCCGGCAGAGCCGGGGGGCGGAAGTTTCAATCTTATAAGACCTATCGTTTGGAGGACGCTTATTTTCCCCTTCTCTCTCTCTCTCTCTTTCTTTCTTTCTTTCTTCGTTTCTTCCCTTGTTCTTTCTTCCCTTTCGTTTGTTTGCCTTTCTCATCCTTTCTCTTTCTCGGTTTATTTGATCTTTCTATCTCTTCCTCTTTGCTTTTCTCCTCTGCCTGTCCTTTGTCTTTCCTTTTCTTTGTATCTTTCTCTTTCTGTTTGGTTTTGCTTTGCTTTTTGTCTCTCCCTCTCTCTCTTGTCAGAGTACATGCGGTGTTGTACTACATAGCTTGTACATGACCGCAGGCCTTGAGCTTTACTACATTGCGAGCCCATGAGAAACAGGAGTTGTGCAGACTACAGGTTTGTTTGTGTTAACAACAATACAACACTTGTGAATTTAACGTGGTAGCGGAGCTGGGATCCTAAACATAGGGGAGCTCCAGTATCCAGCAGTGAGTACTACAACAACTGCAGCAGCAATCACACGCCAAACTACTACGACGTGTCAGGAGAAGCAGCAGCTGCTTTAGCACAACAAGCTACAGCAGCAGAGAATGGGCCAACAGCAGAAACACTAGGAGCCACGACTACGGGAGCAGGAGCAGAACAAAACACCGACACCGACACAAACTGCCACCACCCTTGTGGGCTGTTCAAGCAACCGCAACCGCACCTTGACATAGCAGCAGCAACACAACAGCAAAGAAACAAGAAGATTGAGGACACCATCAGACGCTACATCAGGTACTCGAACTTCAAGTCATACCACCACCTGCTGATCGACTCAGGAGCATCTACACGTGCTTGCCCAAAGGACTACGCGCCAGATCTACCACTACGACCTTGTGGAGAATCAGTTCCACAACAACTCTACACGGTTACCAAGAAGATCCCTGTTTACGGCATCAAGTATGTTCCCTACAAGCAGGACAACTTCAAGATCATGATGCCCTACTACTTTTGTGACGTGAAGTATCCTATCCTCAGTGCATCAAGACTACTTGATAGAGTCTATGGACTCGACTTCAATCCACGACACTGCACCATCACACATGGACAACAACAAGCGCACCTCAGACAAGGTGCTGTTCACTCCAACAGATGGACCAGGACATCCACCAATCAACACACTCGAACCTCACAGAACTACAATGACCAACAACAACTTTAAACCATTTCACAACGCAAAGATGACTGGACAGTCACGGGCAACGCAGCACTACCATTTCAATGGAAAGGAACAACAAGGTTACCATAAAGAAAGACTACGAGTACATCCAGGAGAACCACGACGAGGAACAACAACACAAACATCATGAAGCACAGAGCAAGAGGTCTACGTCAACCACAGCAACCAACTCCACAACAAATAGCAGAACACAACTTGACACACCTACCACACCGAAATTGGTGTCCAATTTCCGAGCAAGGCAAGGGACGCCAAGACAACTACAAGAAACAACAATCACGACAACCCGCCATTCAAGTAGACTTTGCCTACATCAAATCGCAACAAGGTAGTGGTCCCGGACAAACTATCAATGATGGACTACATGGCCAACAACCTACAAGCATTCACCTTTGCGTGCGGAAGAACACAAGGCATACTACAAAGCGACAACGAAGACACACTCAACGCACGTCTAAAAGCTACAGCAGCCAAAGTTGGCTCAGACAGCAGCAACACTCAAGGAAGCGCTGAGCGACCGCATCGAACACTTCTTGGACAGATACGCGTTGTCAAAGCGCAAGTTGAAAGCAACTACAGCATGACGATGCCCACGAAGCGCTGTCTACTACCTTGGATAGCACGACATGCAGCATGGACGGTAAATCGCTACGTCATCCACCCCGACGGCCACACAAGCTTCGAACGCCGCTGGGGAAGAAACTACGAGCAAGCGATTTGCAAATTTGGCGAAACACTACTTTTACCTTCCACCGCAACAAGAAACTTCCGAAAGCAGACCTACGAATGCAGAAATCATACGGCTCGGAAAAGTTTCCGAAACCGGAGAAACTACGTCGCAACAGAACAAGGCGTACTGAAAGTACGAGCAGTACGGAGACTACTACAACCGGACTTCAAACACGACCTTGCGCTACTAAACAAAGTTTCCGGCACACCTTGGGCGCCACGACGGAACACCTACAACCCGTGATTCGCAACACTGTTGGACACGCAACTACAATCGTCAGAAAAGACACGAGCTACACAAGACGTCGGACAACAGACAAACGTGACGGACGATATCGTCGCGGAACCCGCAACGAAACAACAACGTACTACGTCACCTCCACGACTTCCGTCAACCTCGATGTCAAGTTCACGACCACTACCGGATAGCCCCATGGCTACTTCACCTACCGGACGACAACATCCACCACTAAGAAGCACCGCCTCGACAAACACTACGACGCATGACTCCGAGCACAAAAGACCTCAAAGAACACTACAATCAGATGAACGGAAGAAGCAACGAAAGAGCCACAACCACTACGACAGAAAATGAACGCAGTGACACTTTCCAACGGAGCATCCATCACTTCCTACACAAACGACGACACCTCCGAAGACCTCCGACAACGAAGGTTACGACGAAGCGCAACTATACTGGAAGGAGTGAAACACGATTCAAACCAAATGAAACTACATGACGTCTACGACAAAGTAGTTGCGTCTACAGTCGGCGACAACGTCTTCAAAGAAGCAATTCCTACAAGGTGGGTCCACAGAAAGAAAGGACCAGGCGTACGAAGTAGAATCGTCGCGAAAAGCTACACCGAGAAGATCGAAGACGAAGACTCCGTCTACGCCTCTGCACCAATGTTCACGACGCTACGGACGCTTCTCGCGCTACAACTGGATCGCGCGACTAGGCGACGTTTCTACGGCATGTCTACAAGCACCCATCGCAAAAGACCATGATGGCAAACAACGCAACGTCTAACGTTGGCCACCTAAAGAACTTTGTCCACTCCAGAACAAACTATGGCAGGACTACCTGGCTGAAGTACTACAAAAGCTCAGCTTTGCGAGATTAAAGTCAGAACCCAACGTCTACACCAATGCGACGCGCGACTGCTACATCATGGTCTACGTGGACGACCTGTTGGTACTTGGAGACAAGACTTCTGTCGACTCCATCTTCGAGGCCATCCAGGAGCAGGTGCTACTCAAACACAGTGGCTACCTTGAGCCTGGTAATCCATCCAATTCCTGGGAAGAAACATCGAGCACTTCGGCAACTACAGCACTCTTGGACTTCAGGACTAACACATCGACAATACGATCGAGGAGACTACAAACCAACAATAGAGGATGAAGCACTACTCAACCACGAACAACACAAAAGGTACAGAAGAATTGTTGGTAAACTTCAATGGTGAGCATCCACAGGACCAGACATTGCCTACGCAACAAAAGAACTTTCTGAAAAGAGAGCCAAACACCTACTACGGCACCAAACACAACAAATTCACCATAGAACCAACAATAACACTGAGAGCAATCACCAACAACATCCTGGATCTCGACGTTCATGTCGATGCTGACTGGGCAGGATGCCCTACTTCCGGGAAATCGACTTCATGTGTCAACATCATCTTTCTTGGAACAACAGTTGCATTTGGCAGCAGAACACAGGCTACAATAGCACTCAGTTCTGCAGAATCTGAACTCTACGCAATTTGCACAGGAGTTAGCGAGGGACTACACCTCAGAAATGTTCTACTCGAAACCAACATTTGCTAAACCTACGCATTCACACAGACCCCGCAGCAGGCAGGAGAATTGCTACACGACAAGGCACAAGCAAACGAGCAAAACACATCGACCTCAAATCTACACACAAGACCTCATCAACCACGACATCATCAGAACCCTCAAGATCAACACACTTCACAGCAGCGCAGATTTGTTTACTAAATACGGTAGCAAGGAAACACCACACAGGCTCATCCAGAGGATTTGGATACGCATTTAGCACTACGAACGGCCAGCGCAACAACAACAACAACGGCGACTTCAAACATTTTTGTTTGTAGCAGCTACATGCAACATGACACTTTTGGTATGTAAGTAACAGTAACTACATGGAATGTCACTTGCACTTTTTGGCGGCATGATTGGCGGAAACAGTCACCTTCATCTTTACGACTCAGCCATGCACCATTTTGCGACTACAATCGCTGAGGACGTGGTTGACATGGCGTCACCTGAGGCTACTACACCTGCCCAACTGCCAGTTCACAACTTCACCCAACTACAGGCGCGCCACGACCTTCAACTACACACCGCACCACTGCCATTCAGCGCAACGAGTTCAACTTACACATCAACGACACCATCCTACTACGGGCCATGCCCACACTACCCACAACACTACAATATACCAAATTCTACATCCCCCTCACGGTTGAGAACTACTGCTTTCTCACTGCAGGACAGGACGATGACACTACAGTCAATCTTTCCTACACTACTGCCACTTCAGAACCAGCTACACGCTTTTTGCCACTACACTCACTACCAGGCAAGCTACATCAGCCGGCATACGACCGACTACAACTACTACATTCGGCCCAATTGTGGCACTACTACAGCTTGACCGATTTTACACATCCACCAACCACGTCAAGGACTACATTCTTGTCACCATGTCACTTCCCACAGACTACACCCACCAACTACGACGAGACAACAACCTGGGCAACTTCGTGCGTGACTACATTAGTCACTCCACTTGAATCAAAAGCCACTGCACCCTTCGCTTGCCCCACTACCAGGGAGCGTCCTTGATCAACTTCACCCTACACTACACCCTGGCCAACGGCTACATCTGGGATTTCCACCTCCTCATCAACACTCAGCAACTACTCCACCTTTACACCCTACACCTCAACGACAGCACAGTGCGACGTGCTGTCCACTGCATACCGAGTAAGACTACAGAACACTATGGTCCACGGCTCTGAGGCACTCCACGCACAACTACTTTTCCCAGTAAAGGACTACAACAGGATGCCTGGATCAGGTGAAGAATACCTGAACTACATTCGGGAGCCTGCCACCACGCGCTACTGGACCTACGCCAGACTCAAAGAGACTACTGGCACAACCCTTATAGGCCCACATGAGGCACTACAACAACAGGCGCCTCCTCACGAACTCCGTTCAGTCCGACTACATCAGGGACTGAATCCTGAACAGCGACTGAGGACTACACCTGCTTTGCCTTTTCACAACAGTAGCATGGATGAACAACACTTGTTTTCATTACTACTGTCAATCTTGACATTTGCATTCCAGTTGAAAGATAGACTCTCGCGGGGGTCAGCCTTGAAAGCTTGGTGTGTTTGTTGCACTTGTTCACTTTTGTGGGCTGGACAGAGGGGGGAGGAGAGAGACGTTAAATTCAGACTGCTGTTTGCTACAAGTGCAAGTGTTGTATTGTTGTTAACACAAACAAACCTGTAGTCTGCGCCACTCGTGTTTCTCATGGGCTTGCAATGTAGTAAAGCTCAAGGCCTGCGGTCACGTACAAGCTATGTAGTACAACACCGCATGTACTCTGACAGCGCCCCTCAGTTAAACGATCATTTTGTGCACGAAGACGAGTCGAATCCAGCTCGAACTCGTGCATTTTGTTTTGCATCCTCGGTATGATGTGCACCTGCCAAGATGGCTTCACCATTCCACAAAACCTGGCGCATTCTCTCAAGCTCCTCTTGACTCTTGACACGTGAAAGTTGGGCTTTTCCGATCTGAGGGGGCGGATTCCCTGTCAAACTTATTCCAATGAACGTGCCGAAGCCTAGCCCATGTGACCCAGCGCAAGTGGATAATACTGGGGATACCTGGACCAAGGTTTGTCCAGGCAATTGCTCCACAGATTTCGTTCACGTTCCGCAGATGTGCCTTTTTTGTGCATGTCCGGTTGGTGCAGTTTGGGTGAGAAAACTTGCAAGGCAAGGGAATTGCCACAAGTTGCCTCAATGCAGATGAAGACACAATGTGTGAAGCGGAGTTAAGTCTGAATGGCCTTGAAGTAACACTGCAACTCTGCAACAACAACAACGACAACGACAAGGACAACGACACGGACAGCAACAGCAACAGCAACAGCAACAGCAGCAGCAGCAGCAGCAACAACAACAACAACAACAGCAACAACAGCAACAGCAGCAGCAGCAGCAGCAGCAGCAGCAGCAGCAGCACCAGCAGCAGCAGCACCAGCAGCAGCAGCAGCAACAGCGACACCACGAACGCTCACAGCTGGCTATAGGCGGTTTCTGGAGAAAAAACGTTTGTTCTTTCTCGGACATGTGCGGACACTTTGGAGGGCACTGGTATAGAGTCCTGTGCAGCCCCGTCAGCGCAAGTTGAAAGGCAAAAGGCTCAACAAGCGCTATGACATGACGTATGTCGGTCCCTTGGAAGACACGAGGCAGGGAAGACCCGTCCCATGCGAAGCCATGAGCCTCCAGCTGGAGTTTCTTTGTGTTTTGCGTGTCGTGCCTGGCGCATTGCTTCGGCAAATGGAGCAACGCGACCTTGCCCATCATAGGACCCCCCAAGAAAGGCACCCTTACTTGCTTGTGTGCATGTGTGTGTGCTTCCTTCCCCGCCCTTTTCCTTTCCTGCGAACTTGCTTTCCTTCCTTTGATTGATTTGTTGCCTTTGCATTCATGTTTCATATTTGAGTTTTTCTCCCTGCGTTCCGTTGATCGTATTACTGCAAAGTCGCGCAGAAGACTTTGTTGCTTCCGTGTTGGCAATTGTGTGCATGCCCTTCAAGTGTTCTTCCTGTTGGCTAGTTTCGCATGTCTGTTCCTAAGAAGCGCCACGGAAGGAAGCGGCTGCAGTGGGTACGGGAGCTCGAAGAGTTCACATGCCGCTTCGGCCAGGATGTTGGTGTTTTCTATTGGCGGGCATTTTGTTGTTTCATTGTGTTTCTTTGGGCGTGGTTTTTGTGCTTTGGCTTTCCGCTTCCTCAGCATCACAAGTAACACCCCCCAGCATCACCGGCTTTTTTTTTGGGGGGGGGCTTTGTGCCTTTCGGCTTTTTGGTTTCGTGGCTTCTTGGCTCCCAGATTCCTGTCGTTTTGGCTTCTTGTTTTTTTTTGCTTCTCAGCTTCTTAGAGCACCAAGTCCTTTCTTCATTCCTCCCCCCCCCAACCCCTCCAGTTCTGTGCAGGGCCATTTTTCAGCTTTTATTGTAAATCTCGCACTTTGTTTTGTTTGTTTTCTATTGGGGGGCCCCCATCCCCCGTTCCTTCATAGGGTCGTTGTTCGGCTTTGTCATGGCCTTAAAAGGCAAACCCAAACCCATGAATGAACTCTAGGTGTTTTTGGGTTCCCCTGTGTTTTGAGTCGGGGTTGCAGGAGGTTGGCCAACTTGTGTCCGTGCAGCTCGGGTTTCAGCAGATGTCGCCGTCAGCATTGTCTTCTTTTAAATTTTGCCTCCCTCCCGCCCACTTGTGCGGGGCTGGATTAAGTTCGTGCATGCTTCCGGCAGAACCCTAAAGAAGTCAAAGCCCACCCTATTAGGGTCCGAAAGGAACCTTAAACCCGCCTTAACGACCTTAAGCAAACCCACTCCAAACCTGCAAAAAACTCTCCCAAAACCAACTCTAAACCGGCTGTAAACCAACCCTAACCCCCCCCACTCTAAAACACAACCACTTTATGCCAATCCTAAGACCCACCCTAAACCAGCCCTAAACCCACACTAAACAAGCAGAACAGCAGCTCTAACAAGCCCACCTGAAACCGGCCCTAAGCAGGCCCTAAGCAAACCCTATACCAACCCACACCCTCCACTAAACCCGAAAGCAACCCCAAAACCAATCCTAAACCCACCTTAAACCAGCACTAGACCGAAATTAAACCCGCCCTAAACCAACCTTAAACCAACCCTTAACAAACCCTAAGCAAACCCTGTACCCAACCGCCCCCTCCCCCCAAACAAACCAAGCCAACACTGAACCACCCCAAAGGTAAGCCGCCCTAAACTACCTCAAGCCCACCCAAACACAACCAGGAAACCGCAGCTCAAACCAACTCCAAACCCAGCCCGAAACCCACCCCGTAAACCAGCACTAACTTAAGTCACCCCGAAACTTGCCCTAAACAAACCCTAAACCCAGCCTAAAATAGAGGGTTTTTTGTAATGTATCAAAGTGTCCAGACTTAGCTCGGGATGTTCTTTGTTGCTTTTCTGACTGTTTGTTCATTTGCGGGGCTAAACTGCTGTAATTTACAGCATGTTCAAGCAAAATGCACTAGTTTTGCACCAGCACTTTCAAATCCCTAGCACCGTGTTCAACATCCTCAGCATCACATAGGGTGACTTTAGGTCATTTTTCTAGCAGCGGAAAGCAGCTTGCTTGACTGGAGGCAGTCCTTTGCAGCTGGGTATCATTGAAACAGCTGCAGGTCATGTCCTTGCAAAATGCAAGTTTGCTGAGTAGGAGTTGTGGCTGTTTCAATCGCTGAATTGTGCTTGTTGTGCTTGGAGTGGGAGTTGCTTTGTGCCGAGTATGGACGAACCATTTGCCGGGCCTGCTATGTCAGCCCTTAGCACCGTAGCGAGTCGATGTAATCAGGTGTGCCTGGCGCGTGGTTGCTGCATGCCGTTCGGATCCGTTCGGCATTCAAGTGCTGAGGTCACCTGCAACCCTTGCTGCGCAAAAAAATGACGGAAGCTTTATCGTCATCCGACACCAAAACCAAGCAGATGCTGATGAGGCAGCAGGCGCATTTTGTTGAATAAAGTTCCGACTGGCACTGAGGTCGGTGTAGAGAGGCCCAGCTGTTGCAGCACGTGCAGCAGTGAAAGTGATGGCTTGTATTGTAGCCAGCCACATATGTGTATGATCATTTCCGTCGTGGTTTGGCGGCATTGTGCCGTAGTCTAATGATCGGGCACCAAAGTTGCTCATCGAAGCTCTTTTGATTCCCATTGGCGTTGAAACTTGTTGGGTTCAATTGGGCGAGGTGGAAATCCCAAGCGATTGTTGTTTTGATTGACCGTGCGAACGCTTGCGTCATCAAGCCACAGTCCCTAGCCAAACCAGTCCAACCAGCTAGAAGTACTGGAAGTGGCATGGAAGGGACGCCTGTCTCATTTTAGGTGCGTTGTTGCGATGGTATTTTTGCCCGGGGGAGCGCTTGGGATCGGCATCGGATTGGCACATCGTGGAAGGCACCTAGGCTTGTGCAATAGGCATCCCAGGTGCACGAGTAAGAGTTTGCATGGCCGAGGTTCCGCGAAAACCTGTTTGTGCAATCTGACAAGTTGCGGGTAGCTCACTGCTTTTGCCAAAGAGAGGCAATAGATCCATGAGCCCCTTTGATTCTGTTGCACTGCACTGCATCCGTCGCAGTTCTGTCGCAGGTGCAGATTCAGCTCCCTGAAGAGGAGTCGGAATTTGTGCCTTGCAGGAATTGATGCACGTTTGGATCGGGGCTTTGTCGATAGCTCGTTTTGTTTTCGATACCGATGTGGTGAGGTATGGAGTGTGGTGCCGCGCGCGATGTGTTGAATTCTGTTGCTGTTACGTGCGTTGTCTAGGCTGGGCTTGTCTACTTGCTTGATGGTTGTTTAATATTGGCATTTTGCGCTTTAAGAAGGCGCTAGCCTGCAAGTCGCCATTGGGGATCTTCTGAGTTGTTTTGTTGCTTGCACGTGGTTTCTTGTTATCCTGCAACATGTAGCCATAGACAGAGCCTCTCTGTCTTGTGCTCGTGGCTTTCTGTTTGCGATCAGGCGTTTGCTAGGCATTAGCAGGGATATGCCCTGATCCCTGTCCCTGCTTCCCCTGCATCCCTGCTATTTCGGCCCCGCTGCCGAGAGCGGCGCAATCTAAGGTCATATCAGTGGTCTCCAGGCCCGCTGCGCTGCCCACGTCCAACTTTTGCGTTCACGAAGTGCTGCATTATCAGAAGTTTGGTTGGACCCTCTCGGTAGAGCTTCGTCCAGGAATCACTGTTTTCTCCTCAACTCGACTGGGACTGTAGGAACTTATGCGCACTTGATCGAATGTTTGGCAGAACGTGTTTTGTTCTTGTCCCGGCTCTTGCCGAAGTTTCGCAGAAACCACATGCAACTTCGTGGAACCTCCGAACAGTTTGCAGATCCGCACTAGTCACTAGGGGCAGGCGCGTAGCGGCCCACCCAATATTTTGTCGTTTGGTCTGATATGTTTTGCTGACCAGAGGGTGTTTTCCCTCGTTGTTCCTTTCAGACTCCAAAAGAAAACGCACACTCTCCAACTTGTGCCCTTTCGCCCGTTGCCGGCAATCACCTCGCCGGGGCTTTCGCCAGGCTTGCGCTCTTCATAGAAGCGGGCCAAGTGTGACAGCGGGATGAATGAGAAATGTTGGTGTCATGTGCATAACATGAGCTTTGCGCAAGGTTTCACAAAGCTCTTTACCCAAATGCAATGCAAGGCAAGCACCTTGCTTGACAGCGAGTGCGGCACGGATGAAGGGTGCCAGATTCTGCGACAAGCTGGTTTCAATATGTGCTTGGCAAGCAGCGTCCGTCACATGAAACATATGCAATACATTCGGGAACTCAAGCTCTTCGCCTTCGCGTCAGTGATCTCAGGTTTTTGTCCGAACATTGCCCCCGATTGTGCCATCCCGAACAATATGTTGTAAACATGTATCGCTGTACATAATCTCAACGTCTTATGGGTGTTCATGAAAAAGACCTTACTAGGTAGGCTCTTTCAATACCCCACTTGCAATGTGGAGATCCGCTGAGCCTCTCTCAAACGCAGGCCGTTGCAGAATGAACTGATGTCTTCCTGCCGTACGCCCTGCAGTAACATGGTCTTTGGTCGTGCAAGCTAAACATTAGTCTGTTGAGAAGGACGATACAAAACGTAGGCAAGTTATTTTGCGACGGTGTGGTAAGCAACAGATTGCGCATCAGGAAGCAGAGCTTAATGACATGCCACATTGCAGCTGATATGAGGATTTGATGTTGTCTTCGGTTGCGGCTGAGAAGAACGTTGCAAACGCAGCTACTTTATTGCGGTGTGGTAAGCAACGGATTGGAGCGAAATGACACGCGACATGGCAGCTGACATATACTTATCATATATAATATATATATATTGTATATATATATACATATATATATATATACATGTGTGTATGGGGATTTGATACCGCTTTTTTGCGTTTCTCCTGGAATCTACTGCAATTTTGGCGGTTCGATCGCATGTCAAAAGGCCAGGCAGTGTCACTTAGTCTCACAGGAGACCTCCCTTGACAGGCCAAGCATGTTTTCATGTATCAAGCTTGTCGGTTGTCCCTTGCATTGACGCTTTCATAGAACTTTTGTGTGCTTACCTGCTCTCAATTTGGTCTTGGCGCTTTGTCTTTATAGTGTTTTCAGCTTAGTTTCCCGGACTCTCAGGAGCGGCTGTTGCGCGCACAACACGCGCACACACACAAACAATCACATACATCGCGCATGTTTTTTTTGTTTTTTTTTTCTTTTTTTTTTTCTGGGCGCCTGGTTTTATGGACGGAGCGATGCAGTGAGTGCCTTGGGTAGGCATGCCAACGTAGAACATCCCTGCATCATGCAACTCATATATTGCACAGTGGCATCATTAAGCTGCCGCTTGGAGGTTTGATTTGTTTGCACAACCATTTTTTGGGGGAGCATGACTTTCAGATATTCTCGTGGGGCCGCATGATGCAGAAAGCTGGCGGAGCATTCCGCGGGGGGAGTGCTGCATGCACGCGGGGCGATCTAATGAAAAAGCTGATTGGCCGATCGAATGTTGAGGGGTGCGATGTGCAAGGCCACGGGGTCCGGTTCGCCGACCGTTGACCGTTGAACGAGCCAGCTCTAGAATTTTCAGCCGAGAGCTGTGATGGGTGCTTGTTGTGAGTTCAACATGGACATTCTCCCTTTTTGGGATGTGCTTATGAAAGGAGCCAGGCTTACCAACGCCTACCGGCACGGCTATGAGAGTTTACAGTTTTCTTATGTACAGTAATGGCTCATACTGCGCATAGTGTTTTCCTGTTTGTTTTATCTTTTTTTGGCAAATTCGGCCAAGCGGTCTGTGATGTTTACACCATTGAAGATGTCGTTAATAAGTGCCGGCCTCAAAATTGCATTTCATCTAGAGCTGAATTCTTAAGGACATCCTTTTTTGTTTTACCTACTTGTCATAGTTGGCAGCGTTTGTTGTTTCCTGATACCCCCGGCTCTTTCTGCCCCTCACGGAACATGAACATATGGAGAAGCGGTTATTGGGGACGCAATGCATGCCTCTGCCAATTCACAAGAAGCTCACCTAGGGTAAGACGAGCTCGCCATTTGGTCCTTTACTTGGGGATAGCTTTGTTCATTGGATTTGTCATTAGACAATGAGAAGATGGCTGGTGGTGAACTCAAAACCTGTACAACAGTTGCCGGTCCAGGATAAACGCGGGAGTCAAATTGCCACTCGCAGGACCCCAGCGTTCTTTGCATCTCCCTGCACTTGGATCAGTCCGTGGTCTCAGCTGCCGCATGTGCAGGAAGAAGCGACGCTGACGCTCCGTTAATCTGAGGGTTCCACCTGATCTTCTTACACTTTTTTTTGCCTTCTCGACCGGGAGCGGCTTTGCCACGAGGCCTGCACCATGAGCCTTCGCATCACTACTACTCGCAGATGGAGAACTACTACTCAAATTCCATCCGGTCTAATGGCCCGCACTATGATCAAACGGCTGCGTTGGAAGGTTGCAGAGTCTAGAATTCCTCGTTGCACTAATCTTGAGGGGGGAACGCGACCTTTCACCAAAGCCAACAACCAGAGTGGCGCAGCAGACAGCCAATAGCTGGAAAGCCCCAACTGTTCCTTCGATCATTTGAGACAGCCCTGTTCTAGGGAAGGCATCTCCGGCTGCGCGCTTGTGCCCAAGGTCCGACCTTCACTTTTTCCCCTTCCTGAAGGGTAAGGCGCGGTCAGATGTGAGATGCAGCTTGAAATGAATGCATCATCGTCAGTCTTGTTTGCATCTCGCATAGGAAACAGCAGGATACTCACCAAGCACAATTTATGCCCTTGCGCGATGCCCGATATCCTTCAAGCTACCAAAGCCCGAAAAAGGATGGGGCACTCAGCAACAGTTTTGTGAAAACAGCTGTTGAAGAAATTGGGCGTGGTTCATTCGCAATCCTAAGTGACTGCACAGCGCAGGGTCTCACTTAAGTTGCTCGAAATGAAGTATTGAAATGGACGGTTTGACAGCATCGTTGCGTGAACCAAACGGGTGGGTTTTGTTTTCCTGATATTTGGTGAGCAATCATTTGCTTGCCCCAAAACTAGACCAACAATACAGCCCGGCCATTCAGTAGCAGCCTGGCCTCTCCCGCAGCTGGTTTGCTAAGCGTGTGTCAAGCAAGTAAGGGACACCATCTTCCAATCGCAGCCAAGCCAATAGCTAAGTTGTTGGCCAAAGGTGTGTGTGTGTGTGTGTTTGCCAGCCGTTGCAAGCAGAAAGCGCAAACGAACATCTACAAATCCATCAACAAATCCTTGCTTGCAACACTAACAATCCTCTCCCTAATAATCAACCGTGCCCCCTAATAGAAACTCCTCTGCGTGTCTTACAATTGGTGTCCCCAGGTTTTTGGCCAGAACTGTTTCAGACTGCGTTGTGTTGTGGCATCAAATGGGAACGGGGACCCCTTTGATTTGCAGAGAAAGGGTTCAAAAGTCAGTTGCCATAGTTACCAAAGGGTGCGTTTACCTCCTACGCCTCTCGCGTCCTTTCCTTGCAGTTGCACATTCACGCCTGCAGGTTGAGGAGCGTGGCACTGCTGCTGGCAGGGGCTACACATTGAACCTTCCTTGGCCGGAAGGCACATCTTGCTTTCTTTGATGGTTGTCTCCTTGTGGCTGTTGTTTGCATGTACGCAACCATGCCCCATGTCTGTTCGATGCATATGGTTCTTGTAGCTTGCTGGAGCCCCATTCTAGATGCAGCAATGATAGGTGTTTGGTGTCATATTGCTTGAATAGCAGAAGCTGACCCAGCATGCCTGGGACCTATATTGCTGCAAGCCGGAAAATGTATTGGAATCAGTGACTGAATGCTAACTCAGGCAAACGACCTCTCCGTGCATGACTCTATGGCAATAATCCCTGAACTGCAATATAGTTGATTAAACCCTTCCCAGGACCAGAACACACGCACAACCACAGGCTCGCGCTCAGTCCGAACACTGTTGATCTGGGATGCAGCGAGGGTGTGACGATATCACTTGAACTCGCCGCCCTTGTCGATCCCAAATGCAGCGTACACGCGGGCTCATTCGATCTATGATCACCTCGAGGCCTTCTGGTTGGTGTGATTCTTCCCCAATTCCGTTCCGCACCGTTTCTGAATGTGCGACGTGCCGCACTGTGGAAGCCATATGGTGACAACGGCGCTTGCTTTGGAAGTTAGGTTGCTGCGTACGAGCGCGGAAGGCGTGGCAACGTTCAGCGAGTTGTGCGGCTCTTGCGAATGGCTTGTGCCGCATGTGCCAGTTTAGACGGTTCAGGGGCGTTTTCACACGGTAATTAGTTAGCAGTTGAGGAGCGCTTCGCGTCGGCAGGTGCTGGCGATGCCGAAGCATGGCGCTTGCTGAAGGAACCGCATGCTGAGCCACTTCGCTGGGATGCCCTGGGAAGCCATGGAAAGCCAAGGCTTAAGGCAAGGGGTGTGCGTTGCTTTCACTCACCAAAGGTCCCAAAGGTAAGATTGGAAGCGGTGCTGGTCGCGCTGGTTTGCCTATTTTGCACTGTCTTTCACTGTGCGAGGACTTCGCTCTGCCAAGCTTGGAGGCTTGGGATGCGCGTATTCAAACTCTGTCAGGTCCATGTACATTGCATTCTCGTTGGACAGTTTCTGTGTTCAAGGGATGGAACGGGATGGATGAAACCTTTCAATTGCACAAGCTTTTGTGTATCTTCCCGGGGGCTCCACGAACATGGCAGTGCAGGTCATTCGATATTATTATTGCGCGCCGTCCATTTGATTTGATTTGATTGGTACGTTTGCTAAACACCTTCGGGCGTGGCGTGTGTTAGCGCAGTTGAGCGGCCTTTAGAATTTGTATCATTGTGTGGATGCACTATGCATCCTTGAGAGTGCAGCGCTGCCCCTACGTTGTGCTCCAACTGGTCTTGCTGGAGGCTTTTTTCATGTCCTTTGGTTTTGGGTGGGGAGAAGCAACACAACAGATCCTCGGGCATTTGCCTTAGCATTTTAGTGTGCCGCGACCACTTAGTGTTTTGACATGATAGCAATCATACCCATCGCTGAATGCTGCCCAGGCTTTTCGCCCGGACATCCTTGTCCTGGCGTTTGGGTTTGATGCTCTTGAGGCGCGGTGGGCAGACAGTGGACCAGCCACAAATGCGAGAAACCGCCGCGTACAACTCTATCTCCTTGACATTTCACGCCTGTCTCTCAAACACAGGCTACAAGTTTCCCAGAGTCTTGGTCACAGCCAGTTTACGCTCCCGCTTCAAGCCTGTTTTACATTGTCCGCAATTCTCAGTTGGCTGTGTGCTTACCTGACACTGCCCACTGGTAGGCGCATAAATTGAAACACACCCAAATATCGCCTGGGTGACTCTACTTTTGCAGGTTCCCCATCACTTGTTTTGTTGGTAAAGCTCCGCTTCCTGGGGTGTTAGGCTCTTGCTCTGGAAACCAAGCTGATTGTGCGGAAAGCAAGAGGCCACGGCATGAGGCATGGCTAAGTGGATAAAGCAAACCCAAGCAGCCCATGGAAGAGAGACAACTCCTGCGTGACCCGGTTCCAACCTGAGAAATCTTGCTAAGCAGGAGATGAAGACTTATGTTTAACATATTGAGCACGAATTTCTTGGTCATCCCGACTTGTATTAGCATGAGTGGTTAGTGGCTATTCTCAAAGAAAGGCACTTTGACTAGTTCATCATCCGCTTGTGCTTAATATATAGTGATAGCTATCCTTTGTTGTACGTCTCTTTTCGGGCAAATGGGTGTGGACAATGTTTTCCGAGACCGGCTTGGCGTTTTACCCTTGCTGCTGCAATGCAATAGCGATTTGTTGAACCCAATCAGAACATGTTAAGGCCCAGAAAGCGAGAACCATGGTTCCAACCGTGCCCCGTCATTCATTTGCCCCTTCCTTCCAAAAGTCATAGAGCGAGCCCCGGTTGCCGCTGCCCAGCACCATTGATTTGGCCTGCCACGAGCGGGCAAGCGCGTGTCCATGCCTCTCGTTGGATGACCACTACTGAACACTTCTTATTTGTGAGGCGCAATCGTCCACTTGATGATTGGTGTGCACAATTGTGCACAATCGCCCGCATTGCTGATGAGAAGTTGCAGGCAATCAAGCCTGCTTCAGAAGACTCGGCGGGACGACATCATTGCCTGCATGGACACTTTCCGAGACAATGGACAGCGATCCAAACGCAACTATCCAGATGGCAACAACTTGTGGGATCAGGGCTAGGACCTTCGCCCACATTCTGCCTAAAGCACTTTTGGAGACCTTCTTTTTCCCAGTTGCCCAGTGATACCCCTTTGTTTTTTTGTTGGGGGGGGGAGCCTTTTTTCCTTTTGTGGGGAAGGGTTGCCCTTGAACGTCAACCCATGGCCATTTGTGGCTCAGGGCGACCCCTGCGAAGCGGGGCGCTTCAGCCCCCGGCTCTTCCGGCACCTGGCGCGCAGCTGCTGCCAGGCCCCCCAGTCAGTTTCAGGCGACCAGGCGAGGCGATCTCCAGGGGTCTTGGGCATGGGACTGGATTTCCGTGGAACGCCGCCTTAGGTCCAATTCAAGTGCAGTTTGATTGCGGTCACTGGTGTGTAAAGATCATTTCCCGGATGACATCAGCCAAATGTTGGATTCCAGGTGCGCTTGCAAAGCCAAATGGTTGTTCCATGACTGAAGCGGCTTGGGCGGCTTGGGCCCGTCTCCGTGTGACTCCAAGAATCTCTATCGTTGGACATGCTTTAATGCTGCTTTGTGTTTCACCTTGCTGCCACCGGCTCTTGGCAGCAGTGACGGTTGAACCTCGGTGTAGACGTTTCATTTTTTCAGGGGTTTGAAGTCCGAATCCTTTGCATATTAACATGTTTACATATTCTTGCCAAGTGCTTATTGAACATAGTCCCTGTAGCTAGCAGGTTTTCAAGCCTATTTTATGTGTGGTTCTTGTCTTGCCCGGACAAAGGGCATTTAGTCACAAAGGGGCAGACTTTTGCATTTTCCTTTGGCGCTCCTGAGGCGACATTTGCGGCCGTGTACTGTGCACCCTGCAGGGTGGCTACCATCCTCAGGCACCTCTCGTTTACGCAGAAGGAAAATGCATGGCCTCCGGCAGAGATTGACCATGTTGAAATGTCAAGCGCGCTATATGTACCTTGTCTTCTGTAAATTGCTTGGGGAGCTAGCAGTCCTTGACATAGATCTGGGCATGAGCTTTTTCCCGTATTGCAAGACAAAGGACAACTTGAATATAAGTCTCCCACAAGCTTGCCTTCGCTGACCTCTTCCAGGCCTTGGATAGTTTTCACGTTTGTCAATAGATCAATACGAGAGGAAGCGACCCGGCAAAGATTCCAATGAATTGTCCAAGAAATTGAGGCAACCCCAGTGTGCTCCATCATATTGGGGTTCTTTCACGAGCTTGCGCTCGTGATGTGTACAGCCTGCCTTGGGCAATCGCATCCTCCTGGTCCGATTGCCATGTAGAGCCTCCTGCAATGCCAGCCGTGCTTTGTTATGGCTGTGTCATTTAGGCGGCAGATTTTCACATTTGTATCTTTATTTGAAGAGCATCAGCAATCTGAGCCCATTCTTTGTGGCATCTCATGTTGGTTAGGTGCTTGGTTTGCAACTGTTCACGGCACACGTGTTGCGAGGTTTGCAGCCCCTGAGTGGTCTCATAGTAACCCTCAAACAGCCCATGAGATTCTGTATGCGAGTGTTTGAGTGACAATCGCAATATGTTGTTCTGGGGAGTTACTGCTTGATGTGGAAGGCTGGTTGGGTGCTTTTGGGAGGTCATGGGCGGCCGCCACCTGTCACTTGCAGGGAACTGCAGATGCACTGCTTGCAGTGCTCGACGTCTTGGCTGGCGGTGGCTTTGAAGAGGCTCGTGCGCAAGAGACTTTTTGTTTGTCATCCCTAGCTCCCCATTTGCAGCCAAACAAAGTGCTCGTGTGTCCCTGACTCGTCCTCACCTTTTGGTGGAATTTCCATCCATGGCTGGTGTTGAGGACTTGTTGGAATACGATCAAAACTAAAGTCTAAAGTATTCTATTTTAGGAGGTTATGGCAAATGGGCGTTTACCGCGTTTGCGTTATCTATTTTATTCTGTAGTCAGCCTCACGTGACCATTCATCTTCAGAACGCGGAAGAGCCGGGCAGCCTGCGGAGCCTGTTCTCCTTGCGTGGGGGACACGCTTCTTGGTCATAAGTTGCTGCTGTTGTTTTCCTAGTGGATGCAAGGAAGGGAAGACTTGGCACGTCGCCAGCCTCAGACGTGATTGCCATGCAGGCTCAAGGCTCAGAGGAGTGACATTTTGCCATTTGCCATGTGCCCGGCTTTCATGGGCGTCAGACGAAACAAGTCTTCCAAGCCACAACGTGTAGCTGTCAGCCTCTCCAAGAACCCGGTCAGTTTTTGTCACGAGCCATGGCGGGCCCTCCTCCCAGCGAGACCCTCTTCGTGACGGGACTTCCCATGGACATCACCAAAGACTTTGCAAAGGCGGAGCATCGCTCTCGCTAAGCCCTTGGCTTTCTGCTTGTTTTTGTTGAAGGAAGTTGTTGACTGTTTGCTGCTCACAGTGGTTGCACAGGAATGCTTGGATGGCTGGTTGAGTATTTGGTCGTTTGAGGTGTCGGATTCGATGATCAGATTATTGCTGGTTGTTAGGTGGCTGGCTTGCCGGCTGACTGGCTGAGCAAATGTGATTAATCAAATGTGAAGATATGAGAAGGGATTTTTCCCAGCAGATGTGCTCACTCATTTTCCTTAGTGCTCCAAAACGGTGTAGCGGCTTCCTGCCGAAACCGAAGAGCGGTTGTGTCAACTGAGCATGATCATACCTTGGGGCACCTGCTGACAAGTGTTGTGATACTAAGCGGGCTGTTTCTTGAAGTGGCGGTGCCTGCACAGGAAAGCCCCATTTCAAGTTGGTAGTATCGAACCCCGAGGCCCTGCAATGATTTTCCCACGCGAGGGCCCAAACGTTTGCGCAGGAGATCTTCAGTCAATACGGCTCGGTGAAGGAGGTCACGGTTCTTCCAGTTGCAGCGGGCAAAACGGCAGCTGCTGGCTTTGTGATCATGCACACGGTGCCTCATCCTGTAAGTGAAGCTGAGCTTCTTGGAGTTTCTCCAAAGTCAGGAATCTTTGGAGCATGTGGCAAGTCGGCCATGTGTGTATACGCTTTGGTGGTTTGGTGTAGGATGTCGAGGGTAGGTGCGACAGGATGCCGCCAAAGCGCAATGACTCCTTGACATCGATGAGTTAGGGGCTGGATGCATCTTGTGAAGCTTTGCTTTTCAGATGCCTTGCGCAGAACTGTTGCTTCCGTGCCAGGTGGATGATGCCCAGTGGATTGTGGAGCATGTCAACGGCCACTTGGCCCGTTGAGCTAAGTTTTGCTGTTGGGACCAGACGGATTGGTGAACCCGACTTCATTTGGGAAAACAAGGTTGGAAGATGAGAGCATGAAACCACTAGTAGGCAAAGCCAAACAATTGTTGGATCAGTGAATAGCCGTCAGTTTTGATTGTTGCTTTCGCACGCCCACGGTCTCACCTTCATGCCTGCTGCGGCCTGATACCACGGCTTGGAAAACAAGTGTTTGATTTGGAGTTCCTTGCCTGCCTGTTGCCGCGTTCAAGTCAGCTTGATGTCACGTTTAACAAGCGCACGCGCATGTTTCGCGGGACCGCCAATTCTACTGGCAGTATGGCCAATATAACAGTTTGCGATCAACCACGGGAAAAACGTCGCACACCTACAGCCCGCTGAGGCAACGTGCCTCAGAGCCTCACGGACCCTGTCACGGTGGTCTTTGCGACCCCGCGGGAGTCCCGGGGCGGCGGCAAGGCTGGCGGCAAAGGCATGAAGGGTACCTCGGCTGCAACTGTTTTTGCTGCGAGAAAAGCCAAGGCAAGCGTAGGAGTTGTAGCATGCTTTCCTTTGGTGTTTGGTGGGGTGAAGTTTGAAGAGAACATGCCTCGCTTGAAGGCTCTTAGAAAGGGAGACATGGATATGGTTCCATTGTGTTGTTTTGTTTTGGTCATTGTGTTGTTGCTGAGGTGTTTAATTGTTTGTGGGTTTGTTTGTTTGCTTGCTTGTTTGCTTTGCTTGAATTGCTTGAATTGCTTTGCTTTGCTTTGCTTGACTTGCTTGCTTGCTTGCCTGCCTGCCTGCTTGCTTGCTTGCTTGCTTGCTTGTTGGCTCTTGTTTGTTGTGCGTGTTTGTTTCAATGTGGTTTCTGTGTTGTGTTTGAATTTGGTGTTTGTTTCCTTTTTCTTTGCCATTTCTTGTGTTTGCTTGTTTGTTTGTTGTTTGCTTGCTTGCTCGCTTGCTTGTTTGTGGTTTGCTTTTGTGTTTCGTTGTTTGTTATTTCGTTTGTTTGTGTGTTTGCCTGCTGGCTGGCCTTGATGATTACTTTGTTTGCTGGCTTGTCAGCTCGCTTTTTTGTGATTGCGTGTTTACTGGTTGTCGGCTGAGCTGTTTGTGTCTGTTGTTTTGTTTTGATGGCATGTTTGCTTGTTTGTGTGTTCTGTGCTGCTTGCTTGCTTTAATTCTGGGCATTGTTTGTTTGTATGTGTTTCGGCTTGCCCGGGCATTCCAAAGTGCTGCTCCTACCCGGTAGGGATGTCCCCAAGCATGCTTGATTCTCCACATGCTGGGGATGTGCCCCTATGACAGTGCGCCGAACAAAACGGTTGTTGTTGTGTTTCCCTTTTTGCATCTTGATTCGTTGCTGCAAGCCATTAGCCACTTAAACTGAGTCTAGCCAGTCTTCCTCCCGCAGCAAGTGAGGCATGATGGGCATGATGAACATGATGATGAACTCCTGGGGCGGCTGGGGTGGCTTCGGCGGCAAAGGCGGCAAGGGCGGCGGTGGCGGCTGCGGCGGCTGCGGCGGCTGCGGCGGCTGCGGCGGCGGCGGCACCTCGCCAAACGACCCCGATGCCAGTCAAATCGATGGATTTATGCACATATTGCTGGCTGGTGTATCTTGTGTGACCGTTTTTCGTTGAGTTCTTTCAATGGGTCAGGGTTGCTTGTGGATTTTAGCTCGGATTGGGGTGAGGGTTTGTATGGGGTGAGGGTTTGTATTCATGTTTTTGCGGCAAGTCCAAGTTCTGGATGGAATCTGCCAGGAAGGTGGTCCTCCCGAACTGTGGGAACTTTGGGATCACCCCGAATTAGGGGGCTACGCAAGGCATCCAGGTTTGGCATTGGTCTAGGTTTGATGCCTCCTGGCAAGTTTGAATCGGCCGGTCAATTGTCCAGGCGTGGGCCAAACTGTGCGGTTGCAACCTACTTGCTTAGTGGGTTGAAGAGACAAGTAGCTTGTTGTTGTGAAACGCCGTGGTTGTTTTCTTGGGTCGATTGGGACAAACAAACCACAAATTAGGGCCTATCCGAAAGCTGATCATTGAGTTGCGAGGCAACTACAAGACTGTCATGTGCAAGTTTTACGAGACCAATGGCTTTTGCCAGAGAGGGGACGCTTGCACATTCGCCCACGGAGCTTGGGAGATAGGCAAGGGTGGTGGCGGCGGCAAGGGGCCCATGCCCATTGGCGGCTGTGGAATGGGCGGCATGGGCAAGGGCGGCTTCGGAGGCAAAGGTGGCAGCTTGGACTGAGTTTCGCGAAAGATGACTTTACATATTATCGTATATGGGTGCTCAACAACGCGGGTGACCCGCAAAGCGCTATGGTTCCCCGCAATGTTCTATGGTTTGCGTTCGTCCTATTGCACATAAGCCCCATGTTTTTTTCCCATGCATATGCATGGATGATGAAAGGCCTGGCGTTTTGCGGCCAAACTGACTACGACGAACTGCGAAAATAGTACAAGCATTATGGACAAGCTTCAAATCAATAGAACAACTACCACGAGAACTGACAAACACGTGTTTACCACTTGTAACACTTGTAACGTTCAGGCCAAAAATTGGATCTTGTATCTCATGCAAGGTCGTTCAGCCTTTGGCGAGCTGAAATATGTACAAGCCTTGCCTGGAACCTCCCATGCATACTTTTCTTGCTTTCAGCGGTTGTTGATCGTAGCCGTAGGAAAGTCCAAGCTTCGCTCAACATTTGCCTTGTTTCTTTTCAGATCTATTTACCGCAGGTTGCTTGAGGGGTTTTCTTTGCATCCTTATTGAGAAACCTGTTGCTTTGAGTCTGGTTTCTATGGCTTGGTTTGCGACCAAAACATCCACCGAAAACCCGCCGCACCTCCTTCCTTAGATAAAATGTGCCGTCTACTGTAGGGACCCCCAGTCAGATCATGTTAATGAGTGGCAGACTAGTCTGGAGGGGTGTGACTTGATTTGGGTACATGGTGACTGATTTCGACCGATGGCTGCCGAATAGCCCCGCCCCGCCTTCGTCTCACAGGCATGATGGCCTTGCCTGGCATGAACGGCGGCGGCTGTGGCCCTGGAAAGTTCAAGACGGTCATGTGTGCCTACTTCCTGCAGGGCGACTCAACAGTGATCATCCCTTTTTCGAAGGGCAACACTGTCATGGGAACCCCCAGATTAATCAACCCCTGTTTATCAATTGGGAGGTGTCCCTGGTTTTTGTTGGGATTCATCACTTTTGGAGGGCAACACTCATTTTATTAACAAGCAGTATGCGTTTAAGTAGCATGTGAGAGCAATGTGACATCCATACATACAGCTCAAGCCACGTCAGCATGTTCATTTCCGGATGCATTCTGTGTTGAACAGTATACAGCCGATCCGAGTCGCTGACGGCAGAACGTCTTGCATCACAGGCCAAGCCGTTTGCCCTAATCGCAACAGTCCCAACCAGAATCAAGGGACTTTTTGAGTACTTTCATGCGTAAGCGCGTTTGTGCACCCATCTCGGTGAAGCGTACTGTGATTCAGTTGGCCAGGGCATGGTATCTCCTGGTATTCCATCTGGGTATGTGCAAAGAGCGACACTTCTGGAGAAGGTTGGAATCGGAGGGTGACAGGCGTACCAGCAAATTGGCAATTGTTCATCTCCTTGCGAATGCTTTTGGAGAGGTTGCAAATTGTGGACTTGCACCCCTGATTTAAAAGGACAAAACCACCCATATGTTCACTCTTGTTTCATTGTCCAATATGCGTCATGTCGGCTCTATCTAGCTTGCTGCAAGCTACAGGGTAAGTGCTGTAAGTCGTCCCGGGTTGATCTAAGTCGTCCCGGGTGAGTGTGCCCGTTGTGTTTGTGGATGTAAAGATAGTTGTCTCAAGCATGTCATTTTCTGAAATCGCATAATTCTGTGCTGTGCGCATGCAAGATGTTCATTAGGATGAGGGCACGGCTCACCCGGCGCTCGCGCGGCACTTGCGCAGAGTCGCGCGGCACTCGCGCCGGCAGCCCTTTTGTCGGGTGTTCCGGGGAAGCAACAGAAAACACTATTTCAGTTTGAAGGATAGGAACCCTTTAATTGCAGTGTGCCCAATAGGGTTTTCCCCGGAAAAAGCATTCAACATGAACCCAAACCAGTGAGTTTTGAGCATGTGCGCGCAGTGTGCGGTGAGTTCTTGGGGTTGGCAACATCGCCCCTCCAGTTCTGTGCCCATTGTGTTTTGCAAAAAATGGGGTGACCTAAAACGCATGGGGTGACTTAAACGGATATGCGTAGTTCCAAGCGGCTGGGGATGGCTGGGGTGACTTAACGCGACGTGGGGTGACTTACGACGCCCGCTTGTATTTGCCAAGCACGAGCAAGATTGCCAACTCTAAGATTGGCCTAATTTCCACACGTTGGTTTTGCTAGGCTTTGTGTCACAGGAAGCCCGCCTGCCTGTAGGAATACACCCTTTAAACATAAAATGCTAACAAGTTTTTGTTAGCTGCCCGCATGAATTGGGAAAGATGCCCCACTTGCAAAAGGTCCAACTTTACTATATATTAGATATGATGCATATGTGAGTCAAACCGGGAACACCCGCGACTTCAATCAACAGCTGAATGGTTGATCTAATATTGGTATGACCCCCAGCTTTTTTTGGCAATTATCAGCTGACGAAAAGCCAGCCAGCAAAGGCCGATAGCCATATGTCCGCATATGGGTGCAATCAGCCGTTGAAAATCAAGTTTACCATTGGCCTTCATATGTTGATCAGCCTGTGAAATTCTAGGGGTGAATTCCCCATTCTTTTCAACCATGGTGTTGTTCAAAAACCGATCGCTGTTTCCCCTGGGGTTCTGCTGGTTTTCTGGAAAGATTCGGATCCCTGGGAAGAATGGAAATGGAAGTGTCCCCTAGAGAGATCCGATCAGCATGGCTTCATTGAGGTAATTGCACTCGCGGCACGAACTGCACCTACGCCCATGGGGCCCATGAGCTTCACAAGTGCCTGCGACCGGAAAATTTGGATGGCGCCTGACTGGCTTAGAGACCCTGTTCCCCATCAAGAACAGACCATTTCTTTGTTGCATTTTGCTTGGATGTTAGGACTTTACAACTTTTTGCCAAGTAATGGGTTTTCCAGTAAACCACTAAAAGTTTAAACTTTTAGCAGGGGAGCAGAAAGCAACTGAGTTTTGGTGGCTTCCCTGTGGGTGGCTGCGAGGGCAACTGCATTCGCCCGTAGGTCACGATTTGATAGTGAAATGCTGGTCGTGGGCAAGACTGTTAGATCCTAGATGGGGATGGCCAGTGACCAGCACTTATATAAAATCCTTGGCGCTATTGTCCTTTTTGGTTCCAGGTGGAAAGACAAAGTTCTCAGCTCGACCGGCTCGACTGGTTGATCGAGCGGGTCCCTTTTGAATAATATGATCTTGAAAGCTGTCCTTGGAGGTACCACGTGACTTGTTGGCGTAGATTATTTTTGAACATTCCAACTAAAAAGCCGAAGCATGTTTGTGTTTGGACAACGAGTTCGCAGTTCGTTTATTCGTTGCAGTCGGCGACTGATTGCAAGTAGTTAGCCACCGGCTTTCAAATTAGAAAGCAATCCACCATGTACACATCGTTTCCTGGCAATGCTTGATACCCAGTAACCACATGGGTGCGTCTCCGAAAGGTTGTTCCTCCAAGTAGTAACAGTTGCCCGCCTCAACAAACACGATTTGCTGCTACAAATCCTGGCGAGTTTTGTTTTGTTTTGTTTTTCTTCGGTGACCTCAGGAACCTGGCCCACGAGCGACCCAGTTTTCCCGGGGAAGTCTTTTGTAAGCCCGTGAGTAGTTTCTCAAAGCATTGGCAAAGCTAGAGCCAACGGGTCGAAGTGCAATTCCAGCCAACACTTCTGGGCACTTATGGGCCTTTTCGAACCATGCAGGCACGCCCCACGCCATACAAGGTTCAGATGCCATCTGAGCAAGGTTCAAAGCCGAGGGGGGGCATATGCTCAGGGCTGCAAGAGGATGTTTTGAGCGCTGATTTGCGCTCGCGATCCATTGGCCCTTTCCTAATCCTTTTTGATCTCTGCGGTGGGTTCCATGGCTGTCCTTTTTCTCAGGTGAGACGCGGGTATTCCGTCAACAGTCTGGCCATTGTGAGTGCGCATTGGGTGAGGGAAAGGGCAAGGGAGGGGGAGGAAAGCTAGCAACTTCCTGTCTAACACAGAGCTTTGTCAATTGGGCTTCAGTGAATCTTTGGCTTGCCTGGCGGAAGGGATTGCGCTTGGATGTGCAGTTTTGTATGTAGATGCTGCAAAGCGGCAGGCAGTCTGGATGCATATGAGAACACGCGCAACCACCGTCGCGTCATGTTACAACCATGTAGCTCAAAGCCGGAGTTGGGAGCGGCCATAGCGCGGCTATGCGCGGCTACTTGGCCACCGCAGTCGTCACACGGTGAAAAGGGTGCCTGCCTGGTACCCCTGCCTGGCTCGGGTGCTGGTCCGGTCATTGTGGATTTGGGTAGTTGGCCGCGCCGCAAAATCTCACAACCCGACCAATGGGACACCAAATGAGTGCAAGATTCAGGATAATGTCCAATGTGGATTAGTAAACGGGAGCCCCCCCCCCCCTCAACGATGGGGGCATGGGGAATAGTATCTTGAGGTGAGTTTCCATTAGATTTAGTATTGGTAGACTTGGGTTTCCATTTCATTTAGTATTGCTGGAGCTTCTTTTTGAGATTTGGAAATTTAGTATTGCTGGAGCTTCCTTTTGAGATTTGGAACTTTAGTATTGCTGGAGCTTCATTTTGAGATTTGGAACTGAGTTTCCATTTGATTTAGTATTTGGTAGACTTGAGTTTCCATTTGATTTAGTATTGCTGGAGCTTCCTTTTCAGATTTGGAACTGAGTTTGCATTTGGTTTAGTATTGCTGGAGCTTCCTTTTCAGATTTGGAACTGAGTTTGCATCTGATTTAGTATTGCTGGAGCTTCCTGTTCAGATTTGGAACTGAGTTTGCATCTGACTTTATTATAGGGGCCCCTGGAATAAAGTCTTGGGCTTAAAATTTGGGGGCTTGAAGTACTACCCCCTTTGGTGGTTGAGGAAAGAATCAAGTGCCAAGAGCAAGGTGCCAAAGATCCAAGGACCAGTGGTGGCTATCTCTCCTCTCCTGTCCTTTTTCTCTTTCTCTCTTCTTTTTTGTGACTTTTTTTGTGACTTTTTTTGTTTTGTTTTAATTTAATTTTCATGGGTGGGGAGAGCAGGGGCTTGTCTTTATTCCAGGTGCATTTACTAATTATTTTGGGCCCCGAGAAGTCTTTATTACGCGTGCATTTTTTTAATCCCATTTGGACATTAACAACTCAACACTGGTTTGTGAATATGGTTTCTGGATGGCAACTACTCTGCTGTCATTCCTTGCCGCCTGACTTTCTTCGGACATGCGTGGTTGCGGCTGCCGATGTCAGGAGGACATCGAGCTGCCCCCTGAGGCCTTCTTTCTCCACCTGGCAAAGATTCAGGAGTCCTGGTAAGATGGGGCAGGCATGCACCGAATCAACTGCCGAACCGCCAGTTACATTCAGATTCCCTCAACTCCAAATCTTTGCAAGCAAGCCAACCGCAGGGTTGCTATTGCTATTTTTACTTGTGCGACTTAAGGCTTCTTGAACTCAGGGCGGGATGAGTTCATTGCCACTGCTCAGTGTAAACTGATAGATGCGCATATATGAGTCATTTGAGCATGCCATCTAGGCCGACATGTGCTGAGCTGTCACGTTCTTTGCGCCTGAGGAGGTTCTTTCTGATGAGTCCACATGGTGGCCAGCATGGGGCCCAGGGCGTTGGTTTTTGCATCCCCACCCCCTCAAAAATGGAATTGGGGGACCCCTGTAATTCCATTTGTGGTTCCATTTTCCCTCTTATGGGGAAGGCTAGATAAATGGAATTGGGGACCCCCCACCCCCCTTCCCCTTAAGGTAGGGCGGATGTTTTTGCGTGTTTCTTTTCCTTTGACTGGCTGATGGACACATGCTTGCAGAACATGTTGAAGCGGCATATGTGTTTATGTGTGCTATTGTTCGATGTGTGGCAACCCGCAGGCAGGCATGCAAACTCGGTCAAAGCAGCAAATTGCAGGCAACCTTGGGTTGGATGCTCTACTTTCCATTCCTCACGTTTTGAGCGGGACTGCATTGTTCCGACTTTGGGTGAATTCTTCCTTATGGGTTTTTCCTTATGTTGTTGACATGCGAGCACATGGCTCGTGTTTCCAGTGGTTTCGAGGATCCTTCAACAATCTTTTTTTTGGTACTGTCAGGCCGTGCTCAGAGCAGGCTCCATGCTCCTCGCAGCTTAAGAAATTCAACTGCAGCAGCCCGCGGATGCACGGGTTTTGGGCCATGCATTTCTGGTTGTACAGTAGCACTGGCATCCGCTTAGGTCGAGCAGAGCCTCAACTACATCCCTGAGGCGAGTCAGGGGTTTGGGGTGTTGAGGGGCGGTGAACATGTATGCTGGTTTCATGGTCCATGCTAGCAGAGCTTGGCCTGCTCAGAAACCAGAGAACCGAACTATCGCCGTTTTGCTGCGCCGGCAACAAAACGCAGGGGTGGTCCTCAGTGCTTTCACCGTTCGCACGTGTCGCACGTGGGGCCCGGTGGCAATGGCTCCAGCCTTCGCAGGGCATCCGGAAGAGGCTGGAGGAGTCTGACGGTTCAGAGGATGCAGAAATTCCAAAAAGGCGCTGCTGCTGCGTAGCGTGCCCGACCACAGGCGGGGCTTTCACATTCTTAGACTTCAGACAGACGCAAACAAAAGGTGGGAGGGTGACCGGTAGCATTGTTGCAATGTGCTTGCCATCGGAATTTGAAAGCAGCCAGCAACAAAGAGTTTGAGACGGGAGGCAGGCTATTCCTCGACGCTTTGTCAAAAACACTGCGTCAACTTGGCACCAGTGACACCAAGGGTCAAGCCGTGCAGCATGTTTTTTGGGAGGAACAAGGTGGCCTTTCTATTGGGATGTTAAGGGGGCTTCGGGCACCAAGGTTGGTCCATCGCGACGGGGCCGTGTTCCAGGCTTTGGAGGAGCGCCGCTGGAGTGGGCAATGCATGGGTATTGTTGCGGATGTTTGAAGCTGTTTGTCCACGTGATGGATATTTGACTCGCTTGGGGCAATCAGTGTATCCCGTTGTTTGTGGAAGAGCTTGTGCTGGTAGCATTGGTTGTCAAAAGCAATTCGGCAACAAAAAAGTGTATAGCATCCCGATGTTGCAGCTTCTGGGCGGGGGGCGGGGGGCAATCTACGCACAAAGAAAGGGTCCATGTTGTGATATGCCTTGCTTGAGCCAAATTGTTCGGGCCACTTGGTAGTTAAGCTGGTGGCGCTAAAACTTGCTGTTGCAAGTGGCACGCTTGATAGCCATGTTGTGTGCTTTTCCCAGCGGGCTGATTCGATTACCTTGCTTTTTGTTGGATCTCACTGGTGTTGTTCGAGTTAGCTTGACATTGGCCCGCTCTACTGCAATGCAATGAGTCAGGTAAGTTGGGATATCAAGTCACTGGCCGACAGCCGATAACTTGCCTGTGTACAGTGTGCCCGAATCATGAGTGCCCTGGAAGCCCTTGCATGTGCAGGCAGGCGGTCCAAGTCCGAGCGCCTTGCTGTGAAGGAACCTCCCAACACATCCCAACGCTTTTTTCCGCGGCCAGTGGCTCGTTGGTTTGATTCCCAGCTCAGGACTGGGAGATGATGCCGGAAGGGAGTCTCTTCCTTGCTGGCATTGGCAACTCGGCTGTGAAGTTGAAGGAAAGGTTTGAGTTTTAATTCGGATATGACAAAACAGTTGCATAGGAGCCAAGTGCCCACAGAGCTTGGGGCAGGTGTTTCTTGCTGCTGTGCAATTTGCGGGGTGTTACCTTTTTGGCAGTGCTTGCTAGTCGGCTAGTCACTCATCCCTGGGCCTGAGTGCGAACTATGTGCCGGTTGGGTCGTGCAAGCTTGCCCACCTCATTTGTGCCCGCAGGAAAAGGAAGGGTGCCAACAAGTTCCCTTGTTATGAATGATGCATGCCCATTGTACCACTTGTGGTCCCTTGACTCCAGGAACAGCTCGTGACTAAAACGATTTGTGCGCGTTGGCGCGTTGCAGCCCGCTGCTGGCTCAACGGGTTGTGGCAAGATGCTGCGATGCCGGGATGTGACCTACAGCAGCTTGATGGAATAGCATGCGCTGCGCTTTCACTTGTTGGGGGGTGTGGGTGCATCTACGTTTGCAGTCCGGGTTCTTTCCTTGCAGGACTTTAACGGATTTTCAGTCAGCTGTGCTGGGACGCACAGCTTTCCCGCCATGTGCTTGAGAATAATATTGCGTATGCCTCTTGCTTTCTTGGCTTGGAAAAGTAGTCATTCACGTTTGGCAGACGATGTTGCACCGCACATGTGCTGGGGCCGGGGTGGGTGGGTGGGCTTGGTCAAATCAGGTTGTTTACTTTCCAGGCTGCCCCTTTGTTTATGTCCAGTGAGGTGCCAGAACTTTGAAATTCCTGATGCCAAGGGTGCTTTCGGTCAGCTCAGGATCCTTCTGATTCAGGAAGTCGGCCAGGAACATCATTCATCAAACGTCTTAGTGTGCACGTTTGAATATAGCCATGCATGGGTAAACATCAGGACATTGGGGGTAGCTGCCTGCATATTGCAAGTAGGAAGCAGACAAAGCCTGTAAAGAAAGGCCTTGGGGTTGTAAAGGGCATGCTGCAACTCATCACAAACAAGCTAACTCCTGCAAGCTGAACATCTTGTGAATTTGTACACTTTGCGATTTGGGAATTCCTGCCGCTAGGTGCCTATTACTGTGTGCAGCTCTTTGATTCCATCGGCTTTGAGCTGTACGCAAAGGACTGGCGTTTCGGGATTCCAAGCCATCCTACCCTGGGAAGGGTGGGTGCCGGTGTTCTCCTGAACGAATTTGTTCGCTGGCTCTTTCAAGATCCTTTTATATGGGCTTTCTGTCGTTATTTTGAGGACGACGTGGACAAAATGCAAAGGCGACTTACCAGCTCCAGCTGATGGACAGACAGCTGTCGAAAGAGCTTGTCGCGTGAAGGTCTCAACAATCTTTACCAAGCCCGCTTAAGCCATGCTGCTGCGGATATGCGCAGGGCAAATGAAGAATTGCAGCAAATGCCACCAGTCAACTCCACGGCGACCTTTGCCCATGGGGGGCAAGGACTCCACGGCGTCAATAATTGCAACTTTGATGCTGTGTTAGGTGCCGAAACTGGGTTGCCTGCTTGATTCGAGTATATAGCTGTGGCTATACAGGTAGACAGACGCACTGACACAGATCAATGTATAGACAGACAGATGTATATGGAATCTATCAATGTAGAATTACAGATACATAGATCGATGGAAGGATAGGTAAGCCAGCTAGATACATCATGTCACATTTCTTGATAGGCAGATGGATGGGGAGATGCCCATGTAGACAGATTGATAGAAAGACAAGATAGGTAGATAAATAGTTGACCAGATACATAGACGGACAGATAGACAGGTTAGGTGCGGTGACAAAACATCCACGATCGATAGATAGATCTATAGATAGATCTATAGATAGCCGGATAGCTAGATAGCTAGATAGCTAGATAGCTAGATAGCTAGATAGCTAGATAGCTAGATAGCTAGATAGCTAGATGGCTAGATGGCTAGATCATCTCAGATGGATGGATGGACGAATAGATGGATAGGTAGATATATAGATAACTTAGGTAAGACTAGGTTAGACTAGAATAGCTTCGCTAGATAGCTAGATGAATGGATAGGTGGGTAAGCATAACATGAGAAACACAAAGTGGACTATGTGATCTACGTGAAGCAGTTTCTCTTCAGACAGGCATTCAGGAAAGAACGGGAGCATAAATATGAGGAGAACGAAGAGAAAGGCAAAGAGAAGAGGAGAGAAAGAAAAGAGAGACCGAGAAAGGAACACAACAAGAAACGGAAAGAGAGAAGAAACGATAACGGGACGATAACTATACTTCTTATCTTCAGAACTTCCGACCCCGGCTTTGCCGGCTTCATGCTAGGAAAATTGAAATCATGCCACCTACTTGTACCTAACAGCCAAATAACTGGTTTCGTTTCTGGAACCTTAAAAAAAAGCCGGGGGTCAGGGTGCCAATAGGCACCTGGTTGCAGGACCTGCAGGAGGTTAGAGGGCCTCAGGGCCTGGGTGTTTATTGCTCCTCGGCGAGAAGTTGGGCAGATCTTGCAGCCAAGCTGCCTGCAAAAAGGCTCACACGGCCCCCGTTTGAGCAGGGCTCATGTCAACATGGTTCATAGATATTGGGGTGACGCCCTGCAGGGCACGCACACACGCGTGCACACAAATGCAGAACAGTTGTGTGTTGCTTGTCGCCAAGTGTGTCAAGAGGAGAGCTTTCCAAGCAATGTTTTCCTGGCTGGAGGAGGGGCGCCAACGCCTTAGATTGGTACCTTATGCTTTTGAGGGTTCCACTTTGATTCACCGACAACTCGGCTACTGAGATCCCTCTTTGAGGGTTAACCGGGTTTCATTGCATTGGAGGGTCCAACTTATTCAGGTTGTGACGTTGTTTTCTTTTGGGGATTTCTATTGGTTGGGTCCTAAATCAGCTAAAGCATTCCCTTGTACCGATTGGGTCAGGTACGCTGGACCTGCAGAAGGCCCGGGACACGGGAAAGACGGTGCTGATCGCGGAGCCCGGGGCCTTGGGATTTGCCCCAAAGCAAACACGGACACCTGGTGTTCCAAGGTAAGCAAAAGGAAACACGGAACCCCCCGAAGAACCCGAAGAATATGTAAGGGAAGCCCCACAGGACCGACTGGTTTGGAACCAGTCAGAGGGAACCTGCCAATCCCTGATTGGTTGACTGAAGCAACATAAATGCTGCATTTGGGTAATCGTGCATGATTTTTTGGATGATTGGATGAAACAAGGCCAATTAGACCAGGCAGCAACGGCTAAGTAACACAGCATGAACAACTGCGCCCAAGTGCCAGTTTTATTTTGGCACTGACCACTTCACCTAGTTCCTCAAGTCGCGTTGAGACACACACGCAGGCAGGCGCATGCACGCACGCTCGCACGCACACACACACACACATACACACGTTTAAATAACAGCTTGATCTACTTGACAGGTTTGTCTCAATCTGTTTGCTGAGGTTCAAAGCCAACACCGCAGAGCGTGGCGTGCCTGGCATTTCAGACCTCCTCGTTTCCTCTGGGGGCAACGGCGCCTGGGCCAAATTTTGGAGGTTTGTCCACGAGAGCCAGAATAAATCCTTTGGATGTCGATGTCTTAGTCGAACAAGTCGTTTTATTCTTGGCACAAGGACGCTGCGCCTATGGCCCCCAGATTTCTTCGGAACAGAGGCAAGGTGTCGCAGGCTTTGTAGGTGAGGAATGGTGAGGCTTTTTAGTTGCACGATTCGGGAAGTCTAGCCCCCAATTTGCAGAACCTGCTTGAGGTGAGAACTGGCGCGAGCGTGGGTATGCAGGCGTCCTGTATAGCAGCACGGAGATTTGCATACGAGACTTGGCTACCTTGCGGTGAACCAACAAAGACCTTGTAAATGAAAAGCAAATGACACCACCCAGCCCCCTGAGCGCATTTGAGCGCCTGCCTTGGCCTCTAACCCATGGCAGTGCCCTTTGGCTAGGGTACAACAATGCTGGTTTGAAGGAGTGTTTTGAGGGATCACGAGCTTCTTTGTCTAAGGTACTTGCGCTTCTGGCCCTAGCCCCTGCCGGCCGAGGTGTCGAGTGCATCCGTGTGCTCTACCGCAGGGAATGGCAGGGCGAGATCAGCTGGCCCGCGCTGAAGCGGATCTGCGATGCCATGGAGGCACATGAGTTTTTGCGGGGATCCAGGCATGTTTGCCTGTTCTTGCCTGGCTGGCTGCCTGCCTGCCTGCTTGCTTACATACTTGTTTGCTTGCTTGGTTGCTTGCTTGCTTGCTTACATACTTGCTTGCCTTTTTTGTGTGCCTGCTTGCCTGCCTGGCTACTTTGCCTGCCTGGCTACTTGCCTGCTGTAGGGGGGCCCGTCGGCGGTGTAGGTCATCGCAGCCAGGTCCAAGTTACGTTTCCGACGGTGGGTTCAGGGTGGTGCTTCCAGGACCCTCCCTTAGCACTGGACTCGGACGCCGCACAGTCGGACGCTGCATGGGCAAAATCCATGGAGAGGCTGAAGAGCAGCTTCGGCGGCAGGGCCGCGGGCAGTTGCAAAGTGGTTTCCGGAGGTCGCCATGGGAGTCAGCCATGCATTGTAGTTTGAAGGAACCCTCTTTGGGGTCAGCTAAAGGGAAATCTTGTACGGTCAGGTGGGAACTGGCGGGCTCACCCAAATATATTTGACAAATATCAGGTGCCCTGTGCGCTGCGCCCAGGCTATAGCGACAACCAAGTCCAAAGAACCAAAGATCAGCTTTGAGTCTTGGCTGCACGTGGCTGGAGGCCTGGCTGGAGGCCTGGCTTGTCAGTGGTTGAGAAAACACAAAGCAACCCAACCATTTAACCATTTGGAGGTTCCGAAAAAGTTCGACACACACACACACACATTTTACACATTTTACACCAGTCCTCCAGCAGCAAGTCATGTGATCTATTTGTGAAAAACTGGGTTAGTCTTCCAGCTGCATGATGTGCTTGGCCAAGTCATCAAAGGCTCCATACTGCTCCTCAACTCCTTGGGATTGCGTTTTTGTAGGATCCAAGAGCTGAGTGCCCATGAGCTCTTCTGAATGGCACGCCGCCAAGCATTGCAATTTGTTTTACGCCACCTCACTTGGCCGATGTCTTGGCAATCACCCTGCTCTTCTCGCCACACTGCGCTGGCAGTCCAGAATGATCAGATCCAAGTTCGCCCAACTGGATCCTTAACTGCAAACTGTTTCACCTGGCATCCTCAACCTGTTCTCCAGCGGAGTGGGGGCATGTTTCGGGCTGGGGCACGCAGGGCTAAATGGCGCCCAGGTCCTGTCTGGCACAAGCACACGGAGAACGCCGCTCGAAACACGGAAGCGTGCTGTGACAGTGTCTGATTCGCAGAAGAAACCCCAAACCAACGAGGAACAGGTAGTATTTGTGCTGTTTCTGCATGTTGTGGTTTACCTTTGTTCGGCAGGTTGAGCATGCGTGGCATGGTTTGTTCTGGCTTTGCATACGTGTTTTCCAGCCCACAATTTGGAGTAGTTGTTTGCTTTTCCTTCCATGTTGAGGCAGGATCATCCTGCACCATGTCCTGATCCTGGCTGCGTGCCGCACGCCCACCCGTGGCCTGAGTTGACCAGTAGCTTGCGCGCTTCCCGCGCGGAAAAGCATGCCTTTGGCCGGGCAGGGTTTCGTCTTTACCTTCCCTGGCTCATTGGATGACGTGAGTGTCTATTCCCTTTACTCGAACTTCAATCTCTTGACTCAGCTCACTTCCGAGGCGACGAGTTCCCAGCCCGGGAGCTCAGCCCGGCCAGCGCGCGGAAAGGAATGCTTTCTCTAGGACATCTGCACAAGGGCGGAGACGGCGATTTATCTTCAGACACTTCTGGCTGAACCGGGGAAATGAGCATAAACGGTCGATTGCACGTGTACTTGAGTTGGGCAGGATTTGCAACATCCTGCCACGTGAGCGGCGTTTATGGCTGGATGATTTGCATCATGGCCTTCAATCAGAAAGATCTGAAGTTGCGCAGTGTTGGCACATGATGAACGCTGCATGTTCAATTGTCAGGAGCGACTGGTACAGATTGATTCCAATCCCTTCAGGGGGGGCTTCCAGGCCTGGCTGGTTACCCCCTCTCAAGTCTCAACGCATGCCGCATGCCCTAGGATGCAATCACCTCCGCAGATCTTTCTGAGAGTACAGAGTGCGGGGCTCAACTCCTTGGACCACTGGCTCCACTTCTCGGCACCGAATCACACCGAGACTCATACAAGTGAATTAGATCAGCATTATGTTTGCTTGAGCTTGTGCAGTGGAACCCCACCTTATATGGGCGCCTTCTGACATTGGACGAATCCCCAGTGAGTGAATTGTGTGAACAATAGTTGCACGAATTGAGTCGTCGAGACTTGCCCAGGTCAATGTGTCAGAGTGTCTCTGTCAGACTGGGTCATGCCAGCTTGTGTCATGCCTTGGCTCAGCACCTGGGCATGGCAAGCAGAAGTCGTTTTATTGATGGCAGAGGAGTATGTGTTGCGCCCGCCCAAACATTATTTTCGCACCCCTGGCGGCGCATAAGTGTTGTGCCTTTTCCAGCCGGGTCACGTCCTGATGCAAGCCAGATGAGTGAGAAGCCATATTAAGTACTATGACATCATGATTGACAATGCCTATATAATCAGGATTTGCCACACTGAAGCTGTGCGTTCTCCACAGTACTTTCTTACATCCTCCATGGGCTGAATGCGATTGCAGGCTGGACCTTTGGCAGCCTCAACCTCAGCACAAGTCGACAGCTGCGCTCAAAGGTAATGACCCTCAGGCACCCTGTTCCTTATTTTGAGCATTCGATTTTTGTTTTGCGCAATTGGTTTTGAGCCTTTGCACATTGGCAGCGGCATGTCAATGCATATCCAAAGATCATCAACTTTGGACAATGAAGTTGTCAAAGAAACTTGCAATGAGGGCGTAGATCATGCCTTAGACCTTTTGCGCGAAGCAGAACAGAACACGTGGAATCCGAATGCCAACTGGAGGGCCATGTCCTTTGTAAAGGTGCCCTTCAGGTCTTCAGGCCGCGCCCAAAGGCGCGCTGATCCCGCAAGTTCGCAGGCGAGTGCTCGCTTGGCTGGCCAACCCCCGGCTTTCCGAGTGCTGGGCCTGGCTGGGCCTGGGGCGGGTGACCCTTCAAACCTCGAACCCTCGGACCCCGTTTGGTTTGCAGGGAGCAGGGAAGGGCCTGTGAGGACGCAAGGGTTGTGGCACCACCTCCTTGAGATGGGGTGAACGCTTCCTTGGTGACTCCTCTGGTTTTTTGCAACCACAGGGCATTGCGGGGGGGGGAGGGGGGAATCCTGTAGTCACAAGGCCTTGAAAAGGGGTCAAACCATTTTTCGGCATGGCTGGTTGTCCCCTTGGGAGTGCGGCCATGGGGACATGTTTGTGTCTTTCGCCCTTGTCGCCAAAAAAGGCTCCGGGACAATGCAAGTGGGTGTGGGGCGTACCCCAAATGGAACCCTGGTAAGTCGAAACATGGACTAAAATGTGCGGTCCCATGGCGGTCAAATTTTGACCCATACCCTAGTCAGCCAGTTTAGTCCCCACATGGCCTTGCTTGCGCTTTTCTGCAGCTATTGGGCCACCAGCAGTAGCACCTGCAACTCGCCCCTTGGCATATCCACGAGCTGAGAAGGCCCGGCAACAGGCTTCCGCAAGATCCGATTGCCAAGGCAAGAAAGACTGCTCCCTTTTGGTGAACACATGGCTTGCCTTGGTCAGTGCTATGTATCCCTGTGTTTGCTCACGGGTGCTTTACTCAGCCACTGTCAATCAACCGGATTAATCATCAAGCAAGGCTCGCACGCACTGCACACATGCATGAAGGATCTCTTTCCGGTGGGTACATCCTTTTCTAGCCACGGATTTGAGAGTGCTAGTGGTCTGAAACACACGTATAATTTAGTCGTTGGCATAAGCCCTGTTGATGCACACAACGTCCTTTCCGTGAAGCCTGTCGCCAACCCGCTGTTCAAGAAGAAGGATGTAGCTTGAAGCCAGCGAAATATTATCAAGTTGGAAGTGCTGCCCTGCGCAGGCGATGGGCGCCTCCCAGTGCTGCGTTTTTGAAGGAGGAGTTGGATGTCTTGCTTATGCGGTCATTTTATTTATTCGAGCATGATGTTGGGCCCATGCCCGACAGATTGCCTTCAGGGGCTGACAGCTGAAGCCTGCATGTTTGCTTGTTTGCGGGGAGTGAAGCTCAAGTAAAGTATGCCGGCGATGAGAGCTACTACTGTTTCATCCATCCCACCATGACACGTCGTGGCCGCTGGATGCCCTTTCTTGCTTTGCAGGCAGGACTTGGAGGGTTGCAATGGCTGACCTTTCTGCCCGGGGTGTTGCTCCATGAACAGTGGTGTGCTCGGCATGCCGCCGCCTCAAGATGCGTTGCGACGCCGCTAAGCAAGCCGCATGCAGCGAGGAATTGCTCAGGGTTTGAAGGAAATCCCCCCGCCCAAGCAATTCTGCATGTAGTGGTCAGGCAAACAGATTGAATTACGCAACAGCTTCCAGCAGGTCTTGGATGTTTGTTAACGCTTTGCAAGAGCAAGGCGCAGCTTTGATTCCTTGGTTTGCCTTCTCTTGTCCTGGCATCGGTCGAGCAAACAAACTGGAACCTGCATGTCGTACCTGTGAGATGACCTGGCCGGGCACACGAAGAGCACCAACATACCCTGTCGAGATCCGTAGCCTCTTGGAAAACACCTTTTCCGCTGTCACAGCCATATGGCGGTGCTGTCGGTGCTGGCGGTGGCATGGTACTGAACTTGAAAGAGGTGTCTTGGCCGGAGAAGGCGCTGACACTTGCAACTGAAGCAGAACAGATGCTCAGAAGCACTAGCTGTGCATCCAGGCTACTAGTCGGTTGTCGTTTTGTTGGGTACACCTTGCAGCAACAACACATCGGATGGTTTTTTTTTTGGCTCCCTGTGTTCAACAGCAAAGTGCGCGAAGGTGCGCTGGTGTTTTGTTTCTCAGCTCGGAAGGGCTCATAAAACTACCTTGGAGTTGACCTTACTGTCACGGCGCTGTCACCCTGTTTGGGCCCAGCATGACTGCACTGCTTCACCCTTGAATTGAAATATGTCATGACTCCAAATTCAGCCGCGATTGAAGCCCCATTCTTCTTCTTGGCCCAAGGGGGTTGCTGGTGACGCGTTTGGAGATCCATGCCAGCATTGGATCAGGTGCTGAAGGAGACGGGATGCAACCCACACCAGGCCAAGGTCTTGCTGTCTACGGAGTTCCTGGAAGATGGTGCTGTGCTTAGGGCATCTATCTTAGGGCCAGGTCATTGCAGGCTCCAGGCTGAGTGTATTTGTGGGATCTGTCATGGCCCAGCAAGGAGAAAGGGCCAGGCAGCCTCCCGCCCATGTTAGCGCGCAGGGCACTTTCGCCAAGCAAACGCGTGAGGAACAAGGCAATTGTTGCGGGCAAGGTGTGGCTGTGGGACGCTTGGGGACTTTGGCAGTTTCAGACCGCTGCTTTCCACACGCCAGGAGTTGTCATTGAAAGTCGCTATGCTTTTTGGGGGCTTGGAAGCCCAGCTTGGCACCACACCAGCGCCTTAGGGTGATTGCAAAGGTGCTTTGAGCGGTTGGGCGGTTTGGCATTGTTTGCTTAGCAGGCTGCGACGCAAAGCTACAGACCAAAGCCAGGGACTCCAGTTCAAAGCAACCATCTATATACATATACATGTCTATATATATATATATATATATGTATTAATATACATGTATGCATTTAGTTAACACAAGACTATGTATATATATATATATATATTAGTTTAAGACAACACAACCCGGTTTCAACAGTACCGCCCCCTTTTTGGGGCTCCATTTTGCCATCTTGCCATATGGCCTGAGGTGCTCCAGCAGCAGCTCAGGAAACCACCGTGGAGCTCTGGGGTTTGCTCAGCGACTGGAGTGGCCTGGCCGCGCTTGCTCCTTCACTTCTCTTTGTTTGTGTGTGTTAGTGGCTTCCGCTTCAACCATAGGCGTTTCTAGCAGTTTCAGACAGTAATCCAGTGGCTTCGGCTTGAACCAGAGGCTGTTTCACTGGGGATCTCTGTGGCTTAGGGTTTGGACAATGTCTTGGAATCATGCAGAATATGGCTCAGGGGCCCAGGGAGTTGAATGGACAAGCAGGAGCGGGATGTGTTGTTGCTAGTTATTCCTCTGAATTTCCAGTGAACATCCAGCGGAATTTTGGAGGTGAATCTATATACTGGAATTGGTCCTGTGGCAGCCGGAAGTGAAAGGCTGCCGCTTTGACAAAGGAGTTTAGGAGGAATTTAGGAGGAAATGTGGGTCAAAATAGGTACCCAAAATGGAACCCTGGAAAATGGAAGCAATGACTACAACTTGCGGTTCCCTGGTGGGTTATATTTTTTAACGTGTCAAATTGAGTTTAGTTGGGTGTGGGTCAAAATTAAACTGCCGGAGGACCGCAGGTCTTGGTCCATGTTGCCACTTACCAGGATGGTCGTTAAATTTAGGAGGAAACTACTAGGATGGTTGTTGGGAAGCATCCGGATGACCGATGGAATTATTCTGCGCGTGTTGAATCGACCCGATTTGATTCGCCCCATGGGGTTA